GTTATCGAAAAAAATAAATTGTCCCCGAAAATTCTTGAAAAAGATAATTATGCTTCACACTGCTGAAATAAAGGAATTTGCTTGTCACAAAAAATCACATTGCTGCATGGTGTTTTTTCTTAAAATAAATCAGGCTCATAGTTTTAAATTTAAAAAAATATGTTTGGTTTTGTCGCTGAAGCTGAAAAACCGAATGGTCGGTCCCAAAGGTTGCAGCGATTCGGCGACTATTCTTAGCCAAGTAACCTTTTGCAATCCTTATATCCATATCCAATCGAGTGTATACTTTCTTTTACCCGGGGGCGGTCGGTTAGCCTTGTGGTTAAAGCGTTCGCCGAAGACCCGGGTTCGATTCCCGACATGTGTGAAGCCCATTTCTGGTGTCCCCCGCCTTGATATTGCCGGAATATTGCTAAAAGCGGCGTAAAACCAACTCACTCACTCTTTTGCCCGGCAGTTTACTGTAAAACAGGAATATAATGCGACATGAAAATAATGCGAGCTCTTGATTTAAGACATAAATGCGCATTTTAAAAATGCGAGTGCCCATACCCTTTCCTAAAAATGTATGCACTGGATTTATGTTCCGTGTTATTTTAATTAATGTAACCTACGTAAATAAAAGCCTTACCTGAAAACGCTTCGTTTGTTTCAAATGACGTTTTGAGCAGGAACTGTGAGTAGACAGAGATAAATAAAATAACTGTGCACATTAAATCCCCTGTCCATGTTTTTTCAGTGTGAGATTCCTTCCTTATTATAATATTATTTAAGCTAATTGCCCGTATGTTTGATGGCCAAGCGTGAGAATGGTTTCCTTGCAGCTATCATTGTGTTAGTGTTGTTTTAGTTGACAGTCTGTTGGTACTAGTATATTTGTTTCGATTCGTTGGTGTAAAATTTTGATCTAGATAGTCACAAGTTGTTGATAAATATCAATACTTTCTTTAGACAAAACCCTTTGACACCTACATTAACTTACTCCAGTGTGGTTATTTTTCAAGGAAACGTTTGTCGTTTTGATACAGGGCATGACATCATCTTTCGATTTCTGCCTACACAAAAACGAAAGTATTTCTGTCCCAGTTGACGTTTTAAAGTACCAAAACGTTGATTTTCCTCCTTGTTTAGTGTTTCTTTACGTGTATGTGATACGCAGAAACTGAAACTAGTTCTTATTTTTTTATATGTGAACAGCACACGATGACTGTTCTGTTGTCAGAAGGTTATAAAAAACACTTTCGTTTAACCATAAATAACGCTTATGCAATGCCACCACTTGCTGAAAACCAACGACTTCGCGCCGTGGGTATGCCGCAAACAGGAATGACACAGAACGCAGTTGCCATATATTTTATGTTCATCGACACCCAATATTAGCTCTTTGGGGACGTTGTCTACAGCAGAGCAACACTCATGACTTGCCACGGGTGTCCACGTGTGACGTCACGTCAACAAGACACCCATATTCGGTTGGTGCATCTACAGAATCGATACCAAACTGCCACATTAACAGCTCGGATAGTTCCTGGTTTGAGACCAATTAGTGTCAGAGCCTTACACACACGATTGAGGGAGCACAACATCCGGCCCCGACGTGCAAGGGTCTACATATGTCCAAGAGAACGTTTTAAAGACGCTTGCGTTACTCAACCAACGTCATCAGTTTAGGGATGGAAGTTTACTTGTATAGGGTGGCATCACAACTCATGGGAAAACACGAACCATCATTGTTAATAGCAAATTGTATGGCGCACGCTACCGGGACGACATCGTTCGAGGTCATGTTCTACACTTTGTGCAAATGTTGGGATGTAATGTGAATTACCACAGGATAATACCCGCCCACATTTTGCACGTACTTGTTGAGGCAGCATAACATTGCTGTACTTTCTTCAGCCCTCTCTCCAACAGAATATGTCTGGGATGGGATTGGTACACGTCTACGAGAGGACCAGAACAAGCCGGTAACGTTAGCTCAGTTGTGCCAACCTTTTGCTGACATTTGGAACATCTGGTATCGTCAATACACCGCCTATATCAACGCAAATGGCCTACACACCCGATATTGACATTGTAAATCTAATTGTTACACCACTTCTTTGTTAACAGATATGTGTTTTGTCACATTTATTCATGATAAAACATTTACAAGACGAATAATCAAATAATTTACTACACTTTATATGAAGCCCAGTTACTTTTAACAATTAGTATTTCTCGTGATGTCATTTTTGTTGTACCTTTTTCTTGAAGTAATAATTGGTCATATGTTTGTAAATGTATTCAGTCTTATTTTGTCGAGAAATAAATTGACAAACGCGTTTATTCGAGTTTGAAGGACAATGTGAGAGCTTTTAAAATTAGAGCATCACTTTCAAAGCTGCTTTACTTTCTTCCCCGGTGATGCTGATGTGCACTGATAGAAAACTTAAATAACTTTTAAGCTGCGTTGAATATGGAAAGGTTTTTGTTGCTTATTTTCTTATGATGTGAAGCCCATTCCTGGTGCCCCCCGCCGTGATATTGCTGGCATATTGCTAAAGCGGCGTAAAACCATACTAACTTACTATTTTCTTATGAAGTATGTTCTTGAGATTCGTAAGAAGTTGGAAATTGTAGGTACCCATGGCCACGTAAATAAAATATACTAGTCATGCCAAACATAGTTAATTCCAAATGCACAGACGAGAAGAAGGTCATTTCAAACTTCATCTCATCATGGAAAGTTTCGAAGGAAAGGTTTTTGGATAAGTGCAACAACTGACATATGTAGAATGTCAAGTGACACACCAACATAGATAAAACATGTTCCAGGAGCGAAGTAGGGAAATGTGTCTGTCATTATACTTGTTCTAGGCCTGTCAGCTATACAGATACACTCACCGGTTTATCAATGTAAAACATTGTATATCTGAATGAAGGCCACAAAACCATTTCCTGAATTATAAGAAATCTCCATTCGTGACTAACTCGCGTTATTCCGGGACAAGCCGAATAGCGACTCGTGCCCTTCTCGTGGCCATTTTTGCGACCGGGTTCCGTCTTAGCGCAAACGGGCATACGTTAAACAATCATTGTCAACTCGTTGTGTAATGGTTCACATATATTTCCCCATATATCATATATATTTCAGATGCAATTAAAAGAACATCGGGACATGCGGAATTATACAATATGATTGAACACATTTAACTGTGTCTTGGGTATATTTTTAGATGCAAGACACATGTAAAATCAAAAATTATTTCTGAGGGATTCTTTGACGGAGAACTTGAAATCATACGCGCATTCTGATTGGTTTGTCGTATTTTCGCACATAACATTCATCGATAGGGGGACGAGTCTTCTTGCAGGTTACGGAAAGGGGCGAGTGGTGACGAATGAAGAAATCTCCGCTAAAAGACTTGCCGGCTGTACGATGCAGACTATGTCACAAGCATGTGTTTATCAATAAATATCAAATTAGAGAATCAGATGACACCAAGTGCTCGTACAAGAGAGAAGGTATCCTGTCCCACCGGTGGTACCCATCACAAACACATGCAAGTCAAAATAATGAATTGCCTCGGACATAAAATTCGCCACTTATGCGTAAAGTTTGGAAATGTCCTCCACATGTCTACCATAAAACTATTTAAAAATCTTACTAAGGCCTTGATTGATTTGACCATGAACAAACAACTTTTGAACTGGAATCGTATGACGTAGAAAGAGCATGCTTGTTTGTTCCTCAGACGTTGTGAGCGAGTGAGTATGGTTTTACGCCGCTTTTAGCAATATTCCAGCCATATCACGTCGGGGGACACCAGAAATGGGCTTCACACATTGTACCCATGTCGGGAATCGAACCCGGGTCTTCGGCGTGACGAGCGAACTCTTTAACCACTAGGCTACCCGACCGCCCCCGGACGTTGTGAACTGTAGATACTAGTGTATGATATATATAAAGATAGTCACACTATAACTTTGTCATATGAAGCGAAAACTTCCAATTGCGTTAGAGAGGAAATATTGACATTCCACGGATGGCATCCGGTGTTTGAGGAGATCAGGAAGCCTTCACCGTGAGCCAGTGTCATTGCAGCCAGTTGCTTTGTTTCCAGTGTGTTAACTATTTCCATCTGACATTCATCATCAGACATTATTTTCACGTAAACTGGAGTTTAGACCATCTGATCGAAGTCAGATTCATCAAGATCAGGATGTCAACTGGGAGAAGATCACACCATGTTGAATCCGGATTTTGATAGTTCATATCCATTCTGCTTTGAAATGCAGAAGTGGCCAGTCATCTATGGCGCTGAGCTGCTATAAGTTACTTAGGCGTGCTTATCTGTACTATTTGTCTGATTATGTTTCTAGGTCTGTCAGCACCATGCTTGTGCTCGTGGGTTCCACCAAGGTGGCAAACACCTGAGACCTGCATCACTTCAGGCTTTCCACCCATATCAAAAGGACTGACCGTGATGAAATACTGCTCAAGGCTGCGTTAATTCAGTGACCTACTCACTCATTCCGTTTCGCACCTATATCAAACAGTCATGTTTGATGAATATTTACTAAAGGCTGATAAAGAAAACATCAACGCCAATACAGAAAGTGCATCATTGTTTAATGCTGTTGAAACATCAAAAGGCATGTTACGGAATGAAAGACAAGTAGTGAGAGAAGAAGTTATATAATCCATACTGTTGTGTGACAGGTTTTAACACTCGAACCTATGTACATTGTACTTCATCAAACTCAATTTATTTATTTACCTTAGTGTTAATCGATCATGCGCATGCATTATCGTAATATTGTTGTGTCACGTCTGCTGTATGCCTCGTACTTTTCATCAGTATCTGTATAGAATATGGACAATTCTACCTTTAAAATATCACTGTGACATCAACGTTATTTTTTGCAATTAAAATCATTAGTGATAGTGGTGATAGTCGAGGGCAAGTCCCAGATTCCTGAGATGGCCAGGGAAATTGCCATATGGAAGCCTCATCTAATAATTGTCAGATAGAATAATATGAACATTTTCTTAATGGAGAACCACTTGTCTCTTCAAGCAAGATGTATATTGGACCAAAATCAGAGGAAATTAAATCGTTAATGTAATCACTTCTTAATTCACCCGTTTATCGATCCTATGGACATTGTAGCGAGGCATCGATGTTTACTTTCGATGTTTGTACTTGCCATCAGTGAATTGCCATAGGGTCAAGGATAATTGCGATGAACCGATAGTTCGATTGATGATTTGCACCTCTCTTTGCAGGACAAGAATTTAATAACATGCTTTTGTTTGAATCGCTGATGCTTTAGACTTGTGTTCACTTTTCATCCGCTTTGTGCCTTAGCTTGCATTAATGAAGAACTATATTTTGCAAATACTACCTTCTTGCCAGAAAACTGGAAGCTAAATTCTATGAATTCTCCATGTTTATCGATTTCCTGTTTGTTAAATATATACATGGATAATGAGTATCACAAATATGCATAAATAAGCCTAGAGAAGTTTTGACATGAAGAAATTGTAAATTCTAAACCTCTTCACCGGCAACTAATTTCTGACAAGGAAGCGAAAACGTTAATGTGTGACCTTATGGTATACTAATAAACATTTTTGAGTACACTACACGAAATTCCATATTTCGTTGCACAAAAACGCAGTATGATCATCCAGCACCATCTCTAGCATGTGATGGTCTTGCACACGCAGTAGGCGGGGTACTCTATATACTCCAAGCTGAGCTTCCTGGCGGAAGGTCCCGCCTGACAGTAGGCCCACAGCCACCCTGACATCTGCTCGGCCACACACTTCCCTGCTCCTGTCCCGCAGTGGCTGCACTGTTCTTGGCTGCAACACAGACAAAATCGCCTTGTCAAGGAGTGAGTGAGTTCAAATTTAACGTCACATCGGCAATATTTCAGCCGTATCGCGACGAGGCTTTGTCAGTAGCTACATTCACATTATATATTGCGATACCCCGTTTGTCCGAGCCCTGCTTATGCGGAAACCTCTACATATATACGAAGGGACAAGTATCCCTGACTATGATAGGTTCTAATGAAATAATAACTCCTGAATAAGGGTGCCTCACAGTATGGTGAAAATATTGTCCGGACCCCGTTAATCCGGAAAACCTTCTCTGTGGACGATTATTGTTGGGGGGAACTTATATTATACACTGCTGAAAGATGCGATAAACCAATAAACTCGATCATCTACTCCGTAACAATGATTCGGTAATCCAGAAATTGACGATTTCAATGGTAAAGGATATATCCGGATTAACAGGGTTTTATCGTACTTTAGCTTATCAACGTACAGTGTTTGGTTGGTTGGTTTGTTGTTTAACGCCGCACTCAGCAATATTCCAGCTATATGACGGCGGTCTGTAAATAATCTAGTCTGGACCAGACAATCCAGTGATTGACATCATAAGCATCGATCCACGCAAATTGGACTGATGACGTGTATCAACCAAATCAGAGAGCCTGACCACCCGATCAAGTTAGTCGCCTTTTACGACAAGCGTAGTCGCCTTTTACGGCAAGCATGGGTTGCTGAAGACCTATTCTACCCCGGAATCTTCACGGGTCCAACGTACACTGACGCAGATCATCATGTTAATGTGTAACTTATACCCCGTTCACATGCGCCTCTATACATATGTGTGTATATGTGCATACGTGTGTAGAAATACATGCGTGAGTATACTTGTCGTGTGAACGCGTTTACTCGTGTGTGTATATTTACACCAGGAGCAAATTTGCATCATGTCTGATGCAATATCTGTTCTATGCCAACACCAAAATTGTCACTTTTATGCGTATATACGAGTTGAGCGGACGGAGTTTTCTTTTGGTTTCAACGAGTCAAAACTTTGTGTACAAATTAAATCAAACACATGTTGCTTCACGCGAAACTTTTCGGTGAAGTAACTCTCTTCTCAATCAACTTTAATTGGAAAACAACCTGTTTTATGTTGAAAGTCGTGAACAGACTGACGAATATGAGTGCCTTACACAATTTAAATACTTTATATACACACCTAAGATGCTTTTTATGTGAACGCATAGTAAATTTACATATACGCACGTATGTATAGTTACACATGTGTAAAATTACTTACGTTAGTAAATGTTGTGCATGTGAACGGGGTATTAGAAAAAAACCGTAGCAGTGAAAACTATTACTAGTATACAAAGAAAGGTACATTATGATAAGCAGTTATGTACGGTACCAACGCCACACTTTTTTTCTCTAGAATTGCCACAATGTCACGTTATAAATCCTCACTCATACGAACAGACACTTTTGCCTAAAATTACAGTGAGTGAGTACGGTTTTACGTCGCTTTTAGCAACATTCCAGCAAACTCACGGCGGGGGGTACCAGAAATGGGCTTTCGGCGGGGGGCATGGGAATCGAACCAGGGTTTCGGCGTGACGAGCGAACGCGTTCACAACTAGGCTACCGTCCGCCTAAAACTATAACAATTTGCTGAAGATAAATATATAAGAATGAAATCTTTTCTATTTATGTGTTTAAATATATGACCAGGCAAGTATACAAGGCGAAAGAAGTTTGTTAATTGGTATGCCGATCTTAGTTCAGTCTCACTCGCCTAAATAGCAATACCATTAAGTTACGCATAGTCTACAGTTCGAAGTTAAGACATAATTGCGTTCGAAACAATATACTATCCAAATCAAGGGCGGGGATGAAAACGGAAGAATACTTAATTGAGATGTAATTATATAATCCAGAATACATGAGAAGAATATACATTCTGCCAAGGGAACACTGGTCCCTCTTCATCTTTGGAAAAGGTTTTCGCCGATCATTTAATATGCTCGGACCGCCTCCGTGGTTTAGTGGTAGAGCGTCCGCCCGGAGAGCGGACGGTCGGGGGTTCGATCCCCGACCGCGACATACCCAAAGACTTTAACAGATGCTACTTCTTGTACCAGGCACCCGGCACTAAGGAGCTAAAACAAGGACTGGTTTGCTTGGAGTCAGTATAATGTGTCTGAGTTGGGTTTTCATGTTAAACTGCGGCGTGGTATCTTTGTTGGCTAGCATTGTGAAATTGGCACTGGTCCGGCAGCGACACACACACACACACACACACACACACACACACACACACACACACGCATGCATGCATGCACGTTGCTATATAAGTGCAAAAATCTTCGATGCGACGTAAAACTCACCTTATCTTGGACAATAAGTTACTTAAAGAAATTCAAGTAAAATATATTTGCATCATATATTAAAAATGTGTCGATTGGCATGCCGTATGTCCTGAAAGACTAGGTAAAATAACAATTTTTGGCTCTTCCTGTGACACAGTGTATGGCCGGCCTAAAGCTGTGACTGATATAATTCATGACACCAGCAAATTCCCAGCACCTTTCCCTCCCCCACGACTATCAGCTGGACTGTCCCTTACTAACCCGCATTTGGCGACCTTGTGACCTTGCATCTCTGGCTTGTAGACAAAGCAGACGGTGTTGTACTTCTTGAAGCTGCGGATGTAGTCACTGGTAAAAGGGCACACGGACTGCACTTCATTTCCGCCAAGCCCAGATGGACTGGAAACAGAACATGAACCGTGTAGATGGGAGACATGACACTAGAGATTAAATTAACCCTAAATAATGCAAGTCATGCGCAACTGTCACTTCAATATGGAAAAGCGTTTCCTTGACAGGGTATTCTAAACATGTAACTGGGTATCAGGCTTGGAACAAAGAAGATTCTTTGAAGAATATGTATCGTTTAAATTTAAATTTCATCACTTTCAAAACCAAACAAAAATTATTTTACCGCTTGAGTGAGTTACTGCATCTTGTGTCTTATGTTTGCGACAATAGTGTTGCTTTATCACGACATTATCGAATCTTGACCAGGCAAGCTGGTGATCGACTACAAGAACAACGACCCACGCCATTTTGGCACGAAGATGCGCATACACACGGGTTTAAAATACACAGTTTGTTTGATTTTAAACCCCGCATTCAGCAATATTCAAGATATATCACGGTGCCCTATAAATTATCGAGTCTGGAGCTGTTGTTCATCTATATTCTAGGCTGTCGGTATACGATAACACCCAATCAACAAGTCACAGAACATGACCACTCGATATATTAAGTTGCCTTTGACGAAAAACAATGCTTCTCGGGGACCAATTCCCCGGAATCCCCACTGCTCTCAACACATTGTGACCATCCGATCCTGTGTAGTGAGTGAGTGAGTGAGTGAGTATGGTTTTACGCCGCTTTTAGCAATATTCCAGAAATATCACGGCGGAGGACACCAGAAATTGGCTTCACATATTGTACCCATGTCGGGAATCGACCCAGGTCTTCGGCGTGACGAGCGAACGCTTTAAGCACTAGGCTACCCGACCGCCCCCGATCCTGTGTAGACAAAAGTGGGTACTTGGCACCCATTTTGACCCTGAATCCCTACGTGAGGTTTTGCCTTGAGATAAGTATGTATACTCAGCGTACATGGCCTCTCTTCTCCTCCTGAACGGAAGTCCCCCAAAGTTAGAGAAGGGGTCCCGGGACTGAATGTTTGACCTCAGAGGATTGAACCCAAAACCACGCCCTGGTTGAATGACGTTGTCAGGAAATTGTGGAGTGGCGTGCTGGAAGTCGCCGATGTTGCTGTTGTCCACACTTTTACCGATCTGGTTGAACATGCCGTTGACGTCAAAACCATGAGGTTCACCATGGTTACCTTGGCCTCTATCTCCAAGGGAAGACAATCCATCAACATGGTTCCCACCAAAGCCTGGAATCCCTATTTCTCTGGCAGCTGCTGAGACGCCAGGTAGATTAAGTCCAGTGTTGGGGTGTCCCAAATATTTAGTGAAAATTCCCTTTGCCAGCTGGTTATCATTGAAGGCTCCTTCTACCATAAACCTATACAAAAGCAAAATATGTATCAGGGTTTTTAAAGGCAATTAGAAGTGATACACATAAGGTCTTGTAAATTCTCTTCCTCAAAATATGTAATTCATACATTTACGTGAAGTGGAACCATCACAGGTACATTTACTTATTATAATGGCAAACATTAGCGTCAACTTCGGCGTCAGGCTCAACCTAACTAAAACGGTTTGCTCACTATCTACATTGTCTGTAAAGGAGTCTTTGAATTAGACAGATACAAGGTAATATCGTTCTTATAATCTAATATAATTTATTATTTTTTATTTCCTATTGGCAGTCCCCTATTGAATACTACTTGTATAGTAAATATGTCGTTCCAGAATATAATATGTTTCTTGTCAACTGTATTTTTTCAAGTACATGTTTACACATTACCTTTTGATGATACATACAATCTAATGTTGAAAGATACACATTATCCATGCAAAAAACATTCTAATAGTTCATAGCAAAACGCTTATTTGAATTACTTACGTTGGATAGCCAAAACCATCACTTGAGGCATGGAAGTTGTCGGGGGTCGACACTGAAAAGGAGCACTGCCTCTTACCAGGTCCGTCGCCAGCAGATGAACTAAAGGACAACGAGTTCCCTGTGTTGGAGTATTGTCGCTCAGCCTTGGGTGTATCCGAATGAGCCTTGACAGGAGGTTGAGCTTCTGGGGTCCGAGAATCGTGTTGAGGTGCAGAAACGGCGAGGGCGGGTGCGGAAACGGAGACGGCAGGTACAGACACGGGGGCGGCAGGAACTGCAACTGGATCAGGAGCATTGATGGTTGGAGAACCTACATCATCGGCAGCAACCACGTGGTCGACGTTGCCATTTGTAGTCACGGCCTTGTTGTAGATGTGGGGAGGAGGCGGCGCGGCAAACGGCGGTGGGGACTTCTCGACGGGTGCACCAGGGTCAGTGTAGGTTGTGACTGGGAGGGTATGGGGGGCGATGACTGACCGATGTCCCTCTTCTAGGACGGCGACTTTTGGAGGAACTTCTTCAGATGCAGCAAGACATAGCAGCATGACAACAACCACTGCAATACGTGACTGAAAGTACAAATAGATGGCATTTACTATGTACTAGTATTTAAATCGTCTTTTATGAAGGAAGAATATTTGTTTGTTGTTTCACACCACCACTGTTCCAGCTATAATACCGCGGCATCTACATTATCGAGTTCGGACAAAACACAACAGTGGTTGATATTATGACCATCATCAACCAGCCGCACCATCCGATCCAATTTAGTCGTCGAAAAGCAATAAAGTACAACTTAAAAAATACCACCATACAGTCGAATTAAGGAAAATCCCACCTTAGCTTGTGATCGGCATACAATGCATGTTGACCTATTTTAATTTATCTAAAACGGCGAAAACTGTATTCATCGGATCATCCGATATATTTTGCGACCTGTGTTCTTTACTTACGGTAGTGTGTAATACGAGTTTAAACCACTGCACGGGTATAATTTGCGGGATCATCAATCTTGTAAGAACATTTTCATGTCAATATTGACAAAAATGAGTTAATTTCGTGCGTGGATTTAAAACATCCGGTTTGTTCCCTGTTCAAAAAGTCATGTAAGGTTATTACATCAATAGATTTCCATTGAATATATCTAAAATGACGACATTCAACACATTCATCATTTTGAAATGACAATTAATAGTCACAAATAACTATTCAGTCGAAACGTGTATTCCCAATGACGGAGTCATCAGATCATATGTTGTCGGGCGGCCGGGAGGTTAGTGGTACAAGAGGTCGCTCGTCGCGCCGAAGATCTGAGTTTAAAATCCTACGGCGATGTAAAACCCTTTTTTCTCAATTGACCCGTGAGGATTCGGGTAAGACTATAAGTTTACAGCGACCTGTGCTTGTCAGAGGCGACAAAATGGATCGTGCGTTCAGGCTGGACGATTTGGCGGCATGACACTGTATTCTAATCACTGGATTGTCTGGTTCAGATTTGATTATTTACAAACCTCCGTCATACAGCTGGAATATTGCTTAGTGCGGCGTAAAACAACAAACCAACCAACCAATTCCGGTAATATTGTTTATTCTCAAAATGTTCGCCTATCAATTGTCTGTTACCTTAACAATATCATTAAGTAAAAAGATGATTCAACATGTCAATGAAAGTGGCATGTTCAATATAACGATATGAAAGCATGACTAATATTTATAAATAATTCTATGTGTTTTAGTGTTAATGACATATAATAAAAAAACACGTGTTGACGTATTTCTAACACACTAAGATCCTTTCTTTGACGTGACGAGCGTACAATGTGCATAAGATGGATTTATGAGTATTAAAATTTCTTGATTGATTTCTAAATAATGGAGAGAAAAAAACATCTGAGAGCCAAGGGGGAATATTTGTCCTGTGCTGCTTATACTCAAAGGCTTCTGACAGACAAGAAGAAATTTTCATTTCCTTCTTCGGAAAGGAACAACACTATATCAAAGCGATTGTTAAATGTTGAACGGATCGCCGCTCCTAACTGCAGAGACGGCGACAAAGGGATTAATGGTCTCTCACAGCGGCTAACGATATACATAAGGATCTAAATATTTATTTGACAAAAGTAAAATGGCGATAAACATTCAACAGTGCCCCAGGTGGGATTTTTAATGTATTAATCAAGAATTTTTATTCCGTGACATTTGGGATGAAACATGTTTTATGATTAAAGTCACCAAAACAAATAGTTTCCTTTGTCGATAATGTTTTTCTTGTCATTTTTTTACAGATCCGTATTGGCCATTTGAAGGTATTGGTCGTAAAGTGAATACTGGAAGGATGTTAACAGTGCGGATCTAATATCAAATATATATTACACATATGGAAGTTGTCCTAAATTAACATTAAATTTGTCGTACTACTTTGATGTCCCATAATCATGACAAAAGTGCACGAAGACACAAACAAAACACCCCACTTTACATGTGAATCAGGGCATATACTTGAAAGGATTTTGGTTGGTTTGTTGTTTAACGCCGCACTCAGCAATATTCCAGCAATATGACGGCGGTCTGTAAATAATCGAGTTTGGACCAGACAATCAAATGCTTGATATCATGAGCATCGATCCAAGCAATTGGGATCGATGACATGTATCTACCAAGTCGGCGAGCCTGACCACCCGATCCCGTTAGTCGCCTTTTACGACAAGCATAATCACCTTTACGGCAAGCAAGGGTTGCTGAAGACCTATTCTACCCCGGAATCTTCACGGGTCTACTTTAAAGGAAAGATTGTTATATTTGCTTGTTTGTTTGTTTTTTAACGCCGCACTCAGAAGTATGACTGCGGTCTGTAAATAAACGAGTCTGGACCAGACAATCCAGTGATTGGCATCATGAACATTGATCTACGCATCTGAGACACGATGACATGTATCAACCAAGTCACCGAACCTGACCACCCGATCCCGGTAGTCGGCTCTGACGGCAAACATAGGTTGCTGAAGACTAATAATGCCTTTAAGGTGGTACAAACTTGACATTAACCTCACGTAGTTTACAGGAATGATTCATTTTTTTACAAGCCAGTACCTACTGTGAAGGAACTAGCTGAGTAGTATATATTATTGACTGTAGTTATACCCTATGCTCACCCTGTGTACGTGAAATACTGGCCATGGTGATCCTGATTATTTTATAAGTGAGTTTAAACTGAGGGTTAAGGACTGTCATACACAAACATGGTATTCTGAAGTGTCTGGATGCTCGAAATTAGAACTGTTTTCATTTTTAAGACATCATTATCACTTGAACCGTATATATTAAATGTATTATTAAAAGAAAAGCGACGTATGCTTATCCTTTTACGTACTGGAGAACTGGGAATTATGCATAACACAGGAAGGAAGGATGGCAGCGATAAGACACTCCGGTTTTGTCCATTGTGCAAGTTAAGGACAGTTGAAAATGAAATTCATTTCTTTCTTGTTTGCCCTATTTATGAAGATATTTGCTCAAAATATTTCCCACATTTCGACTTTATTACTGGTTATAATCGAAAAGACATACTAGTGAGAATATTAAACTATTGTGATGTAAACGGTCTTGAGAACTTAGCCAATTATGTTAAAGATGCTATCTGTCAACGTTCTTCTTACCTGTAAAAATTATTTTATGCAGCACTTGATGTGAAACTGAATTGTATATATCTGCACGTGGACCCGAGGGCCTTGTTACCGAATAAACTGATTGAGAGCCCGGGAACCCTTAACTTAGATGAGGTGGTCAGGTGGTGCCTATATATTTCAGTTTGGGGAACGAATTAAGTCTTTTATACAAATATATATATTATTTCAAGGTGTATATGTATATATCGGGAACACACACACACACACACACACACACACACACACACACACACACACACACACGATATATACATATTACCACTAATTGTCATGTCATGAAAGCGCTAGCCTATTAAAACTGTGTTCAATCTTACTCGAGTTATTTAATTATTACTATATTGTGCCTGAGAGTTAGAACTTTACTGTGCTTTATATATATATTTTCAATAAATAAATTCAATAAAGGTGACTTGCCAAGAAACCTAAAGACCCTAGAAGAGACCAGTGAAACAACACCATCTGATCTATGCATAAAGATTCAGTGACAAATAAATACCCACAAGATTATATGATAGGAAGGATAACGTTCAAATAGTCGACTTTCTCTTGATGCTGAGCAATATTCCTTTGTCATCGTAACTTCACAGCTTTTGAGGTGTAATCGAGCTTGCTCTTTCGCCGAAGCTTCAAACAGCGTTCAACAGCTCTTGCTCAAAAGTTGTTTGATCATGGTTACAGCATTTCTATGCTTTCTTAGTGTAACTTTCAAAATTATTATTGTAGATATGTGGAGGGCATTTCACATTTGACGCATCAGTGACCGAAACAATACAATTCCCTATTTTGACTTTCCCTGTCTGTTCAAGTGAACATTTGACTTGCCTTTGCATGAGTTTGTGACGGGTGCTACCGATACGTTCACCCTTTCGCGAACACCTGGTTTCGTCACTATTTAAGAGTGATTCATAAACACTCGCTCATGATACTGTCTGAATAAAAAAATCAGCTCTGAGAATTTAGGAGACATCTCGTAAAATTATGTAAATGATGTTGTTGCTTATATTTACATAAGTGTACCAGTAGTAATCCATTTTCAAAATCGATATACTTGTAGTGTCTATCAGTGTAATGCATAAACACAGAAATCAGTGGTCGTTTATCCAAAGTAATGTTGCACGAAATTAGCATTTTGACGCCAGCAATAACATTAAACTGTGGCATGTTACAAAAAAACACAAGAAAAAATCGCTCACTGTCGTATTTTTCTCATCCGATCCATTCAGTTGTCAAAGATAACCATGTGCTAAAAGGAATTATTATAATTTTTAATTTTGCGAACGAAAGTCTCCTTTTAATTCATAGGTAATCTCTTCCAGCTCGTTGGATGTGGCGAAAGTAATTCATTTGACGTGACATAACAATGTAGACCTTGGTCTCCAACTGTGAGGCATGATGGAATGGGCTACTTATTCAGTAGTACATATTCAGCCCTAGGAAACATATATTAATGGGATGGTTTGTTGGCGATCTTGACAAACACCCATAGTTTATGGAACATTAAAATTTCATTATTGGTCACTATTCAGTCATTAATGGACATTAATATTACAAGAGTTGCTTATAGACAGGGTGAGGGGTATCGCTATAACATAATAGGATTTCTAAAGTAATGATCACAGTTGTCTTATCAGCCGCAACAGGATCTATTGATCGTATACTCGAATCCAAGACTTGCACTTATTATTATCCCTGGTCTGAATTACCAAAATCGTACCCGTGGTACACTTCTAACACTGTCTGTTCCTCTCACATTAAACTGACATGCCCGTATATAGCTAAAGTGTATTCTAAGTGGAGCCCATTGCATTACCTCTACAGCCGCTTGTCAAGGAATCTATACGACCAACCATCAACGCGGAAATGTTATTTTCAGATCAAGAAATAGGAAACTTTGATACTGCTGGACAACAATAACACGATAGAATACTGAAGTTACAGTTTGGTTCAAACGAATCTTCACTATCAGAGAGTGGATGAGTTTGAATATTTAGTTAGATGTAGTTTCTAACATTTTTAGACGTATGACTGAAAAAGCTGTTGTTTGTTGAGTAAAGATAGCTGAAAGATCTGTTTGGTACATACGACACATGATTTTGTCTCGACGATGGGTTAGCCTTAAGGTTAAATCATCTGCTCGTCACGCTGAAAATGCGGGTTCCATTCAACGTAGTGGTAGATTGTTGTGTGAAACCCTTTTCTGACGCATCGGCTGTGATATTGCTGGAATATTGCTAAAAGTGGCATAAAACTATGCTTAACCACTCACTCACTCACAAAACAGTAAACACTTAATGTCACTCAATATAATGATAGTTGAACACTAGTATTCTAAAGCTCAACACTACAAACTTTAGTTGCTTGAACTATTGTAAAATTTAGTTCATTACATCCTTAAAGGTAGTTGGTGGGCCGCGATTCGCTGTGCAGAGTTGCGTCCCTTTGGCACGCCAGAAACCTATGATTGTGGGTTCGAATCGCGGTTCGCCCCGATTATGTATCTAGGTTTGTCAGCACCATACCCGTGCTCGTGGGTTTCACCGAAATGGTTAACGTCTGTGGCTTTCCTCCCACATTAAGCTGACACGCCGTGATATAACTGGAATAATGTTAAAAGCGGCGTTAAACCCAACTCACTCACTCACTTTACCAGTCACGAAAACATTGAAAGCCCATATATACTGATTTTAAAGACAATGTGTGCATGTAGCTGCCACGTCGTGACGTTTCTTGTCACTTCATTACTAATATTTGTTGCTTTCAACTTTCTTTTTACATTGTGACAGAGATGGATGCGCATGGGACCAGGAGTTTTTAATTCCTAGTTGTGAAAATACGTTAACGATGATATCTTACATAGACTGTTCCTGGTGAAAAAAATGACGATACCTCTGTGGTATTACTATGCGTTGATTCAACAAAACCATTACAAGATTAATGTTATGTATGAATAGTCGCGTGTCTTCGGTAACCAGCCTTGAATTGATATTAATAGTCATCTTTCAACCTAAAATCACCGGAATATGATACTGGGAGTATTATAAGTATGTCTTTTCTTCCCGTATCCGAGTTCCCGTGACGAAGGCACTTCCACAACTGTATTTGGTTAAATACGTTACAAAGCTTAAGGAACCAAATTTTACATTAAACTTAAATAAAACTTAAGTCCGTTCAATGGCAATAATCGTTTCAGAAAGGACAAGTTGATAAATACATTTAATGTTGATGCTTTACTGGTGGTAAAAGCAGGTGTTGTCATATGGAATATGTGTTCAAATTCACAAACTATGCATATAGATGATACTTATCAAAATTTATGAATTTTTAATAATTACATTTAGCTTATACAAGCCTAGTTTTGGTAAATCTATGTCACACTTGCGAAACTTTCATCCGGTAATCATTAATATTGGTACCAGTTATTAATACCAGCAGCAGCAGCAATGACTGCAATGAATACAGGTAAAAGACATAAAGTCATATAGGTTTACTTACCCCCATTGTGGATGACTTCAAGAACACCGAGACTAACTCCGTGAGCTCTCCAGACAACAATGCACTACAATGTTCTTGAATGGAAGCCTACTAACCGCATTTATATCAATTGAATAAGCGGGTAGCCCATAATCCGCATGGTGGGAGGTTGCACATCAGTATCCCCTTAGCTGCGTTTGTTTTATCACAGGCGTAAAATGTAGATGAAATATCGGTTATCACAAGGTCAGCTAAACCTTGCCGAAAATGTTAGATAACCCCTTTCTGTTTCATCCGTCCGACGACTAGGAACAGATGTTTTACCTTAAGTCATTGTTCATTACTAGTTTATTGATAATCGTACTGAGATGTAGAAATGCCTACTTTTAAGGAGACATAAATATTTTAAAACAAATAATATAATTAAAATGACAAAATTGTTCACTATATACCAATTCAAATCAAACAATAATCCAACATACCTTTTCCATTTCAGAGCAGCTAGATTTGACTCGACCTCTATCGACAGTAGCGACACACCTCTGGTCCTTACGCCAATACAATGACTACACCATAAATACAACATTAACGACTTTAAGATTTAAATGAAATCATTCCAATAAATTTATTGTTTAAACTAGACATAAATGACGTTTCCTGAAACGTGTTGAAATTAGTTGCTGTAGTTTCTATGGATAAAATGATTACATGAGATTGTGCTATAGCTGAAGGTAGTAAATAATCACCATGTGGTATGACAAGGAGCGACCCCACATCCGCGGCTATTTGATCTGTCTTGGTTAAATGTCCACGCAGGGTCAAGGAGAACGACATATACAATAGCGAATACGTTATAACGACGTATGTTAAGAGGTTATGTCATCTTTCCCCTCCATATCCATGCCCTAGACGAACAGTTGATTTGAATAGCACCACAATGCAACCAGCGGGGTCTAGGATAATAAATGCAAACATTGGCGTCTTGCATGAAAATTCCGATATTTGAATTCAGTTCTTGATGTGATCCTATGAAACAGTATGAATTTATTTTAATGAGTGTTGTGTGTAGCCTACACATAACCCAATACGCTGGTTGTAATTACCACGCCGTGTGAAGCTAACATTGTTTCCTTGTGCACTTGAAGGTATTCTTCAACTGCGAGATTCATTTTACTTCATAAAACTAGCAGGCAATCCAAGAGTCTTTAATGTCTTCCATAAAACTTGCACGGATGGTCATCTGCCCTGAGTCAAGACGCCCTTCAAGTGGCACACTGTGGATATCCACAATACAATGAGTCATATAGAGTTCACTGGCAGTGACTTTCTGACTCAGGAAGTCTCTGGGGATGATGGTCTATGCTATGTCGATAACATCAAGAAATCTTTGTTTCATGTCTTGAAATAAGATAAGGATAAATTACAAAATCAATTTTGCACAGCGCCAATCATAATGACATTTGCTTCCATTCAAAGCAGATCAGTATAGTTAGAACATATATAAAGGAAATGTATTCCTCTTGAGAAATTATGGTCATATATTCAAGGAAGACATTGCCAAGACTGCACCATGTCTGATTAAACGATTATGACTTGGTAGACATTTTATTTTAAAAAACCGTCTAAAATATGGAATATGCATTAACAAAAGACACAGATTTCTCTTAATGTGACAGCGGAGGATATTAGCATATTATCATGCATGCTATTCTCTTTATTGCTCTTATCGGAGTATTGCTAAAGGCTGTGTCACAGCAACTGTAACGTTTAGGTTATCCTCGAATATGGACATAAAACATGTCATCAATGGAAAGAAGCCATTATAATCAAATGACGAATTTAGCCTCCATATTTCACATATTTGTGTTGTACTGTGAACCCATGACAGAGCAACAGTGACCTTGGAGGTACAGTCGAATGTTGGCATAAACATGTCAATAATTAACTAGATTAATTAGAGCTCCTGGAGCAGTCAAACCAGAGGGTTTGACGCAAACCAACAAAGCAATTACAAAGAGTTTGAGTCGCTCCTCAAACCAGTCAATCAAGCATTTTCTCTCTGCTGTCAATTTTTTCCGCCAAAAGCAAATTTATATATTTCCACAACTGATTCAATATTCACCGGATAAAGGTGCGCGGGTAGCCTTGAAACTTCAAATGAATACAAACACTAAAGAAACACCTGTTTGTTATCCATATTTCACGTCCTATTGACCACTTTTTGGTGGACCAAGTCTACACTGAAAACCTACGGAGCATTAAACGTTTCAAAGTTTTATCTTAATATGTTACAAGAAAAGAAATTTCCAACAACAAGCGAGCGAGTATGATTTTACGCCGTTTTAGTAATATTCCAGCAATATCACGGCAGGGTTCACCAGACGGGTACTACAGCGTGACGATCGAAGCCTACTAGAATACCCCACCACTCCAACAACGAAAACCCAAGCCTTGTGCATAACTTTAAAATGTTTTCTTTGAATGATCACATATAAAGTGAGCGTGGATGACTTCCAAGAATCAATCAACAACCGCCTACACATAGTACACGTGCAAATATATCCCTTTAACCTCTTAATGAAATCCTATATATAGAAGTCATCACCGCACTCGGTCTGAAACGTCCACCATAATATAACCTTTGAGGTCTCTCGTCTTGATTAAGTTTTCCGTCATGACAAACTTAAATTCAAAGGTCATGGGGAAATGTGCGACAGAACTTGGCGATAGGCTGCAGCATCAACAGTAAAATAGGAAAATCATTAGGATGTACGAGGTGGAAAAAGATTGTTTGAGGCCCTGAACACTTTCCTGTTTGTGATCCTGTTTGCGTGCCCGACTCCTTTTCATAATGTCTAGATCTGCCATTATTGTTTTACCCAGAGATGTACATAGAAAACAATTTTTTTTATTTTTGCTTATCTATAAAGTTATATTTATTTGGCTGGCTCTCAGTATTAAGCCTGTGATTGGTTGACTTACATGAAAAATGCGACAAAAAACATTTCCACAATCATTGGGAAACCATTGTACGCTTCAGGTTATATCATCAGCATGTGTTTATGTATCTCTATCAAATAGTGATGATATCAGGTGTCCGCGAAAAAGCAAGTGTATCCTGCCCCACCTGTGACACCCTATCACAAACACATGCAACGGCGAGGCAACTGTTCACCTGAAACAAATGGGGAGGTATGATCAAAATAAGGAATTGCAGCGGACATCATCTTTGTCACTGATGCATCAATCTTGGAAATGTCCTCCACGTGTCTACAATAAAACTGTTTAAAGCCTTTACTGGAGGCTTGAATGTCGTAATGTTTTTTAAAAAAATGATATTTCCCCTTGTTTTCAAATGAGTGATCATGAGCTGGGCTTCACGCCGTTTTGAACAGTATTACAGTTATATCACCGCGTGTCAGCTTAATGTGGGAGGAAAGCCCAAAGTGATGGAGGTCTCAGACGTTTACAGTTTCGGTGAAACCAACGAGCACGGGTAAGGTGCTGACAAACCTAGGCCTAGAAACATAATCGGGGCGAACCAGGATTCAAACCCACAATCAGAGGTGTTTGGCTTGCCCAAGGGACACCAACTCTGTATAGCGAATCGCGGCGCCTTAGACGACTGGACCACCCGTGCCCCCTGTTTTCAAATGAAAGTTACTGAATCATTGATCAGTCACTTGATGAAATGTTAACTTAGATAAAGGAGTACTCTGTAGAATAAAGAATACATTATAACTAATCGTTAATAGTAACATGCCTCTTGTATCAAATATATAAGCACGTGAAATGCGAGACATTTCCGAAGTAATAATCTATGTAATATACAAATTATGCCTGATGACCAGGTATCGTAAATCTGAGGTATTTGAAGTTTAAAGTTAACGTGAAATGAAAAACAGACTGAGACTATGATTGTCTACTGCTCAATCACTCTGAAAAATGAAATCTGAAATATAATATCTGTAGGTATATGCCTGAAAGCTGCTTTGGTAATGTTAAATGTCACGTATTGGAAATTTCCGGTATAGGGTGACATGACCGGTAGAGCTATAGTTATTTCTGTGATGCTATATGAATTTTTGTGGAACCAATGTTGGCTTTAGTCGTCAAACTGTCCGCCTTCTACCTGCCACCAGCGTTCTTATGATTAACTCATTAACGGAATTAATTTAATACGGGTGACGATATCCACTTATATACAGCGCACTGAATGAGTGGGTTGAGTTGGTAGGATGATGTCATCTGTAGTATTCATGGTGCCCCATTGCCAGATGTTTGTGTTGGTTTCGGTCCGACCATTTAACATTATCTGTGTGTGTGTGCGCGTGTGTTTGTGTGTGTATGTACCGTTTGTGTGTGTGCGCGCGCGTGTGTGTTTGTGTGTGTATGTCGTGTGTGTGTGTGTGTGCGTGTGCGTGTGTGTGCGCGCGCGTACGTGCATTCTTAGGCTATTCTGAATTTTTGTTTGTGATACCGGAAAACTGATGCAAACTACATGTAAGAACCTTGGAGGTCTTTAGTATTCAGTTCTTGCAGAACCTGTCGGTATGCAGACTTGGCGCCACCTACTGTGCAATCCAGATTTGTAACAGGGAGAACAGCACTGAAAATACTTGCATGATATGTCAATAATGTGACAGTCACATCTGTGCACAGTGACGATACTGTATTACTTAATCTTGTATTGATTAAAGGGGCTGTACGTCAAATACCTAGTGCTATTACTATATGATGGTGATTCACGAACGCATGCCGAGGTATGAATGCGACGAGAAAAGAGTTGTTAAATAGGGACTGCACATACCGTTGAAGATGTAGCCGCGTGGTGTCTTCCTCTCATGGCGACATATTTTGCTCGTACATATAAGATAAGGTTTCACCAAATGCAATGTATGTAAATTTCCGTCTGTGTACATGTATGAGTGAGTGCGTGTGTGCGTGTGTGCGTGCGTGTTCGTGTGTGTGCGTGTATTATGAGACGTTTCTGAATATTTGTTTCTGGCACCAGAAATCAAATTTACAGCCACATGTGGCCGACGAGATCAGTCAACGTAAACGATCGTGGTTCAAACTTGAAATAGCCATAAGAGACACAAGAGACACAATCATAATCAGGATGTACTTGGGATTCGAACCCTGTACGTATCACACGATAGATATTTCAACCTAAACATTCGTTTTAAGCATGTAAACCAACATCTGCGCAACACACTGATGATACAAATCAATGTGATGTTCTTGCCATACAGAAACATCTTAACGTTTTCATTGCTCTCTTGAATTTTAGATATTTCTTCTGATTGTGGAAATGTTTTTGTCACTTTTATTTAAAGAAACTTTAAATAGCATTGTAGATATGCACTGTTTATCCTCTACCCTAAAGTTAGGCGTTTGACCAAATGTCTATGTCTGGCTTGAGCAGGCAAACTGTAGAAAGACAAATTGCATGAGCCAAACATGAAACAAAAGCTCTAGTGACTTGAAATGAAGAGTAGAGAGCAAGGTAGAACAATCTTGGTTTGTC